GCTTTCTAGAATATGAAACTTTAATTTTCCTAACTACACACGATAAATACATTCTTTAAGTCTTGTAAAGGGAAGGATGACAGGCGAATCTGCTCTTCCGTCCAGCGCCGCTCCCCTCCCTCCGGCCTGAAATTATGAATGTAAGGCGTATAGTAAACATAGATAAAACGGCAGGGTCCGTTACAGTTTGTTTTCATCTGATTTCAATTAAACAAAGTCTTGGCTTTCAGAATATTAAACTTGTTTCGGCAAATTCAGATGATAAATACAACTTTGAAGCTTCTGCATAATTACAAGCGGAGAACGGAGTGACTTGACGTCACAATAGTCGGTGTTTCTCAAGAGTGTTTTCCCCGGGAAACAAACACAATACACACAAACGCAAAAATACACACACACGCGTATACACACACACACTCGCGAGCTTCCCCCAGACCAGTAATCCAAACGAAAATATCTTCCCTCCGTAGTATTTTGTTCATTTGCTAATAATCAATCAGATCGATGGATTCCAGAGAAGAGGAAACCTCTTTCTCAAAATGACTCGTTGACAGTCATTATATAATGTGACATATTTTGCTTAATATTTGGAGTACAACAACAATCCTGATATCATTAGAAAGCTATGAATCTCCTCTTTCCAACAGTGTGTGCAACTCAAAATGTGTCTTCGGGTCAATGAGACTGATTTCGATGGAGCAGGTCATTAAACATGTTGGTCTCATGTCTGAGTAAGAACCCTGGTGTCTTGTAAAAGTCACAAGGACAATTGTACTAGGTCCGACCTGTGACATGGAACACATCTGAACTGAATGCCCATAGATTGACACGAAGGCTGCAGGAGCCTGAGGTACAACTTGAAAATACATATACATCATTAGTAATCCACTCTTTACTACAGTTCAAATGATTATATCAAACAGATGAATAAGTGCTGTGCAAACAGAATGAGGAAATATCAAAATAGTTGCTCCTTGTCTTCTGGGTCAGCGATTGTGCCTGATTGGATATTATAAAACAGGCACCAAGCTGAATTCACTATCTAATAACATTAAATGTTGAAGTCGATGTAAAAGTCACCCATCTCTAAATGACAAAATGCCATCGCTTTAACAGATAGATATAATTGATCTGAAAAAATGGCTTGAGATCAATACAATTACATTGTCATCTTAACTTGACTGCATTCTTTGATTTGTCTGAGAGAATATGACCTGAAAATCAAAGTATAGATTTTTGTTAATGCCCAAAGATGCAGCGGGAGTTTAGCAGAATGTTAACCCTGGGTAGTGTCATCATGTCTCATCTTAAGGAAACAGCCTGTCCTCCTCCTCCTCCAAAAAAAAACCGCTCCGGAGGGTCGTATATTCACAAATAACCCTCTCTGGAAAATCTGGAAATGTATATTGTACTTTTAGAATCCACTTACAGTGGATGTGTAGGATCTATAGTTTGATAGATATTAAGAAGATGATTTGAGGTCTCGCCAGGAGAACGTGTATATGCGGCAGCTTCCATGTAAAGTTGGCGTCAACCCTCACGCAGTGAAAACAGTATTTCCGGTCTCGAAGTTTTCATAATAAAACCGTAAGTATTCGCCTCACTGTCAAATGATTTGACAGTGATATCTGCACTACTCATCCACTCAAAAACACCAGATTATCCTTGTTAATTACACAACATTGATTGGTTTAAATTGTGTGCAATGCTTTTGTTATTTTCCCCTTCGATTCGGAGAAACAAATATTTGTTCAGTTTAGGATGGCCGAAGACACTACAAATAATGATTACAAAAAAATGAAAAATAAATGCACATTTTTTATATATATTATATATATTTTCACTCAAGGACGAAGTCGGTCGATTTAACAGCCCCGCCAAGTCCACGGAGCGACTAGGAAGATAGCAACATGGCTAACAT